GTCTACTTGAACTTTTACACTGTATCATGCGGTCTAACAGAGAATTTATCATAAAAACGAGTAATGATGCTTTATATTTATATTATTTTTTTAGAAGCAATAAATCTTGCAGCCCGCGGTAATATGTTCGCGGTGTATGTCCTGGTAAACCACATGCTGTAGTGTAAATGTCCGTGTAGACCGCAGATTAAGGTTTGGGTTAGGTTATGTTAGGCCACGGAAACCCCGACAATAATTTAGAATCACTCAGTATTCACAAGATATACTGCCAGTCTATTAAACTGGCCGCGTCATAGCTCAAGCGGTTAGTCGCTGGCTTCCTACCGCGGCGGCCCGGGTTCGATCCCGGGTCTGGTCAATTGGGATTTGTGGTGAACAAAGTAGAGCTGGGGCAGGTTTTCTGCGAGTATTTCGGTTTCCCCTGCCAATTTTCATTCCACCAATTGCTCCACTATCACCCTCACCTATCATCTGGGGTTGGTACAATAGGCCAGAAGTGGCCGCAGTACAAGGAACTTAGTCCCACCCCACTAGCATTAAAAAACCTGTTAAATTACCAAGCCACGTAACACGTTCATGAAACTTTTACGTTAAAAAGAAATATATATTTCGTAATTATGCAAAACACTCCACTACATTTCGCTTTGAGTCTATATTCTTGAAGAAAATGGAATTGGGAATGTACGTAGATCGTTGATAAAAATTTGTTAATTGTTTATGCAATACAGTATTTGCAATATACTGCTGTTCAAAATTAAATTAATCTAGGCAGTTCAATCTATATAAGTGAATTATTCTTCATTTACCTTCGGTTCTGATGACCGTAGCCGAAGTCAAAAGCCCCAGTCATGAAGGTGGACACATCACTCACTTTAAATAAGCCATAAACTTTCTGAAGCACAATATTTCTGGCACAAGTATTACTGTTTCATAGTCACTAGATACAAACGCCATTCATGGAACTATAAAAATTGAAATTACTGTCAAAGTTAAATTAACGCGCCCCTGATCCCTCCAATACACTGCTCTCTGGAGCGGACTGTTACGTTATGATGTAGGGTACGGGCTTTATCCGAACGTTCCGAACTACCCTGCATTATAACCTAGAAAAACACGTTCTTCACACTCAATGTTATGAGAACATTAGTCGAACAAATTCCACACTCTACCCATTACGATGAGTGGTTTCATGTTTCATTTCTTTTATTAATTCAACTTATTTATAAAACAATACATTCTTTTTAGAAATATAATTTTCCTTTTATATCGTGTATTATGCAATTACAAAATGTAATTTAGACTTAATTTTGAATTACTCATTTCTGCTGTATTTTGGTCGTAGATTTCATGATGTCACATCTGTATTAAAAGAATTCAAACTGTTTCCTAAGAGACTGAGTTTGTTTTACATGCATACTGAGTCGCATATTTCAAATATGTTTATATTATTTATGAATTATATTTATAATCTTATTTTCCATTATACGCAGTTTATTTGAGAAACTATTGTGATGGTGAAGAAACTGATCTTGAGGTTTAGACGGAATTACACTTTTTCAGCCCCACAGTATATGAAAATACAGTATACTGTATGAGAGGAAGTGCTGTGATAGTAAGAGAAATCTATCCGTAAATGTTGATGGATATACACATTTCCAGCACCCTTGAAAACGAAAATGAGGCTATTTGGAATGCTGTCACTGTCTATGGATATGCCCTTAGCTCCCATCTGAGCCATTGGGCACATTCGGCATCAAGAGTTTTCCACCATAAATCGACCCTAGCCAATATTAACATTCTCGCTCCAAGAGCAGTGTTCTTATTATGCCCCCAAAAATAAAACTGCTATGTTCTCGAAAATGGTTGTACTGATTCTGATTAAATATCGGTAGTTAATGAGGACCAGCTCCCTAAATAGAATTCCATATGTGGTACTTTTAGGGAAATACAACATGTGCATTATGGGTCTAATGTTATGCAAGGTGTACATGTCCTAGCTTGTATGAGCTGCAACAAAAAATTTGTCTACCGAACAGCAATCGATTTTGTTTCCAACATAATGTAGTCAAAGTCAATAGTACTTGAGAAAGTATACACAGTGTCTTTGCATTGTTTCTTCATGTTGAAATTCTTATAACAGAAATTGCAACTATAATTTGTTTCCCATATTCTTGTTGGCCACTCATCCATTGAACTACTGTCTGAATGCATATCAATGAATAATATAAATTTATTGTATTATAATGTTTGTAAAATGTCTCTGAATATATTGCATAATCTCTAGAACTGTTTTGTAATTTATTTACTCTACAGTATGTGGCTGTATGTCAGCATGTATATGAATCATATTAATTACAGAGAAAGCATAAAGAATTAACACCTTAGATCAGAGATCCTCTATATTAAATGTTCAACTAAGATACTCTAGAATATTTTCAAACCAGACATTATTCTATGTTAAAAATCTACTTATAAATATTCTAATAATTGTCCTTCCCAAGATAATGATGGTAACAACATCCACTAAATCATGAAACAAACAGGAATATATTGGATTTGAGGTTCCACAGTAGAGACTACTAACAGTACTATTTTCTTGGATATGACACACTGCATTCTGGAAGACATTTACCGACGTTTTGAGGAACATACTACCTCCACCTTCAAGAAGAAGGAAACCAAGCGAAATAGGATTTAACTTGCACCCAAATGAGTTCGGTAAGATTGTATTTGCAATTAAACCAGATTAATGCACTACTCTGTTTTTTTTTTATTATTTACATTTATACATTCCGTTGATCCTTATGGTACAGCTGACCAGTGGATATGGATTTTGTCCCAAGCTAATAGATTAAAATACGCAAAATACAAAAACTACATACATACTTTTGTCATTAAGACAGTTAAAAGATTTATATTAATGTACAATGCATAAAATGATCAAAATTATAAAACAATAATTGATACAAAATACTTAGGTAATGATATAAAATTATAACATATCAGGGGTACAATTACCAATTTTAATTACATACATGGTTAAAGTATTCCTCTAAGGAATAAAAAGAATTTGAAAGAAAAAATCTTTTTAGCCTCAGTTTAAATAGTTTCACATCATTACTCATACTCTTGATTCTGGATGGCAGGTGGTTATAAGCCTTAATACCAAAATAATATGGTCCTTTCTGAAAGATTGTTAGGCGTGATGTGGGAAGGTGCAAATTTGTGGTATGTCTAGTATTGAGATTGTGGGTCTCATAGTTTGAACTGTATAGGTCTCTATTATTTACAACAAACAGAATTATACAGTATATATACTGTGAGTACATTGGTAATATTTTTAGGTTTTTGAATAGTTCCCTACATGAGTCTCTAGTTCTTACATTCATAATAGTTCTAATGATCCGCTTTTGCATTCTGAAAACATTTATACTAGTTGCTGAGCTACCCCAGAAAATTATCCCATATTCCATGATAGTCACAGTGTCTCCTTGCAATGTCGTTCAATTCCTAATTTTTAGAATGTGGCATGTGTATATTTTCACCAATTGCAATAATTCTGTATGTGTCTGAATGGTAGTGCATGGAACATTTTCCCTGGTCAACCGAGCTGCTTATAGCTGGAAGCTTCTCTAACACAACACAATGACAGCTGGCATTTCCTACAACACTGAAAGACTCTGGGGCAAAGTATGGTAGGAACTATTCTTGAAACCACTTTTTAAATAATTCAGAGTTAAGTTCGTCATGATGCACAATATTACTTTTCAATTTTGACAGAAAAAGAAACTAATTTATTTTCCATAATGAAAAACCTGTCAGTTGATCCAGCATGACTTATTATGAACGTACATGAAATTTCAGGCCACTTTGATCCATCACTCCTCTTCAAACAACTTTCGCAGACATGATTTTTATTCAGTTATACTTTATCTAAAAAATACAGACTTTCAAATCCCTATGAACGTGATTTAAGAATTTTTCTTCTTCTTCTGACAGCTGCAACATCACTGTGTTCCATTTGCAATGTTCAGTTGCCACTGCATCTTGTGTATTTAAAAGCACATGGGTTTCAAAATTCTTAACATAGACTCCTCACTGTTTTACAATCATACAATCAATGACAAACTTCTTAAAAGAGAGAAATTCTCCCTATTCATGAGGTGCAAATAGCTTCATGTCACAATACATCTTGTCAAAATCATTCATACCTCCCATTTTTTCATCTTCTGCCAACTTTTCTCCAGAAATTCAAAATTCACAAGTCCTCTTGTATTAAAATAAGATTTTTCTTCACCAATGAGTTGAACAGTCCAACATCATAAGCAGCCGCTGTGCATTTTTGATACATGTATTTGGCAACACGGTAAATTGGTGAACTGCGAACTGTTTCATGCTTTAAATCTTAAAAACTTTTTTTTTTGGCTTCCTTATGCAAGATTTAGCAATTCACTTGCTAGCTTTTCAGTTTCAAAATTACAATAAAATATAATTAAAACCATCACCCCACAAACTGCTTCAGAGAGACCCTAATTTCATGAATAAAATTCCACAATCCTACTACAAGTTTCAGGAGCTCTTCCTTACATTGGCAGATGTTTACTGGTTCATAGTGAACCCATTCTGTACTACAAGCACAGGAAAGGGGACCCACTAAGATATCTACAAGCTTGTAGAGATTACAACAACAGTTTTCCTAATTTATCTTCGGCAATGAGGCTCTGAGTTTGGTATAAATTTACTGACATTTTGTTTTATGCTGGTTGCTTGATTGGCTTACATTTTGACCCTGAAGATGAGGCAGTATATTCCTCCTGCATATCAGTAAACTTCTGCCAGGCTACCTGGAGTCATATCAGAGAAGACAATTTATTTTTTCATCCTGTGAAACCAATAAACAAATCTTTTTTATTTATATTACCATCTTAACTTCCTTCCTTGAAAGCATATAAAAATATTGTAGAATGATTTGACATCATCCAATGTGACTTAATTATATATTTATATGAAATGGCCTTACATGTCTTGGTCAAGTTATGACCATCTTCAGATGGTGAAATCATTTTACATTATTTAACTAGTGTGACAGACCACAATGAATAAAGTTAAACATATAAAAATACTCCTATATCTGTATAAAACAGTGGTGATTTAAATGTCTGTGAATAAACTCCAGTCCCTCAACTTATGAAATACAAAATAATGATATTCCCATTTGTTTTGTATAGGTGTCAGACATTTCTTGCTGTGAAGGAAATAAATTACATGTGTCTCATAAAAGTGCTCAGTCAGATACTTTGATTCAAAGAAGCAAGTATGTAATATAGGATATTACAGTATACAAGTGGAATTTTGTGGTTTATAGAAGTCACCTAGGGTTATTGTTATAGTTGAATCTGGGAATCCATGACAGACTAGAAAGGGGGAAGTCTCAAGAGAGGAGTTTTCTTGGAAGGCAAAGATAGAAATGGCAGGATAACATTGAGATGGATCTTAGAGAGTCAAACTTTGACAATGGGAGTGGGATGGAACTGGCTCACAGCTGTAACCAATGGCAGAATCAGTGGTGCTGAACCTTCATCTCTTCCACCGTAGTGTTAGTATTATTTACATACATTTATACAAAGAGGTACAGCATATTATTCAAATTGGATAAAAATTCACCTTCACTTTTAACCTTCTGTTTTCATGTCACAACTGCTTGTTCTTGAAATTGGACTTCCTACAGGTTATATAAAAAAAATCTGCCAGACCAAATTAAAATTTCCCACTCCTCTGCTATATATTACATAACACAGATATTCTAAATGCACATTACTTCTTCTGGGATAAAAAATAGTGCTGACTTTTAATAACTGCTTCAACCTAGTAGTTTCAAATGTAGGAAAAAGATGTTGAACCCAACTGCAGTAATCAATGTTTTGATATGTGCCATCTGAGGGACAGAAAACGTTTTTTTAATCCGTTGAACAGAAAGTTAAAATGCAAAGTGAGAGATTCATCACAACTAAGTATGGAGCTTTGCACTATGGACACTGAAAAGACTAACTTGACCATAGTTGTTGACTAAAGTAAATTGTCTTGTTCATAGAAACTTTATACTACAAATGAGTCTCATCAGGAACCAGTGCAGGGTTCACAGTGCCCAACTTCTCTGGGTCTTTTGACGACACTCTGCCTTTTTTCAACAAATTTCGAGAGCCCTCAAAGTGCTCCTGTATCTCAAGTAAGGTCCTTCCCTCTGTTTCTGGCAGGAAAAAATGAAAGAAAACAGATCCCACAAGACTGACTGCACCATAGCACCAGAATGTTCCAGGTAACGTCATACTATTCAGCATATAAAAATATACCTTATTTGCTGCGAACCCAAAGATGTAACCAATGGATCCTGATGCCCCACTGGCAACACCACGGATCTCTGATGGATATACTTCACCTATCAGTATCCACGGTAACAGACGGATGCCAACGTGAGATAAAAATGCTGACCCAATAAGGAAAGTCATTGGCAACCATTCATATGAATTCCTGGAGGAGTACAAGTATGCATATGTTGCCACAACAATGAAACACACACCACTCCCAACAGTTGATACACAAGTGAGGGGTCGTTTCCCTGTCCAGTGTACCAGGATAACACATATTAGAGCACCTCCCAGCTGCACAAGGCCCAGGTACAATGTTGCGATGTACTTGTCAACTGGAGTGCCCAGCTGGGCAAAGATACTGACAGCATATGTCTGTAATGTTGTCATCCCTCCGAAGTGTCCAAAGAAGAATCCAGCTGCAACAAGGCTGTAGGGCTGCAAGAAATTGCGTTTTGTATAGTTACGCCATGAGGAACAGGAAGGAGTAAAGGAAACAGAAGTTACATTATGTCTGTTTGAGGGACTGTGACTTTTGAGGGAAGAAACAAGTTGCAACAGTTCAGGTTGAACTTCGTGGGGCTTTACCCAGCCTCTGAGCCAGCACAGTGATTTCTCAGCATCTGCCACCCGCCCACGGCCTGCAAAAAGAAAAAGAAAAAAGTTCATGTATTATTGTCAGGGTGCACAGAAAAGTTCTGACACTTAGCAAGAGAAGATACATTTGTGATTAAATTATAAGCTCAGAAAATGCAAACATCATTCAGCCAGTATATTATATCTTTGTTCCATAAATTACAGTAACCATCTGGATCAACCTGCCTTAGAATTAAAAAAAATTATATACATTACATACAGAGTGTATTTATGTGTTTTACATGATTCTTTGAATAAACAGTGGTTATTTCCCTAAACAGCATATATAGGTTCATGTTTGTACTATATATATATATAGTAGTTATATTAAACAATCACCACAACAAGTGTATACTCACTTTTAATGTTTACAATTAAATCTTTATTTTGCTACATGTTTTGGTCACATAGGACCATAATCAGGCAGTTAATATAGGAATATATCTAGTCATTTAATTACTAATATGGATCCATACTAGTGTGACATGTCATATTATATGATAACAGAAATTTTGAATCAAGTTGGTAATAAATATTACAATTAAGTACATAAAATAAAAAAATTATATAACATGTATCTAGGATATATTTAAAGTGTACAGAAGTGTAATGATTATATTACAAAATATTAAAGTATTTAAAATATTCAATATATTATTAAAAATTATTAAGAGATTAAGAGTATATATGCCAAGCTAATTCTGAGGTTCAGGTGCTACAGTGTAGTATTAGGCATATTATCTAATTTGTGGATCCTTGTTGCTAGAAGCATCAATGTAGTAAAACCAGATCATGAAACCCAGGGGTATGTGTCAATGATATGTACATTGTTTTGAATGTGTGATGTTTTAGGTACATGTATTTCCCAATATGGATTGTGTTATTATGCGATCATTAATATGATGTATGCATTTTCTAGTCTGGGTGTGTGTATGTTAGATATGTACTACACTGAGCATTGGTTCTATGTAGCAAAATAAAGGTTTAATTCTAAACATTAAAAGTTAGTATACACTTGTTGTGGTGATGGTTTAACATAACTACTACACATATATTTGGAACACACAACTCGGTGCACACTATGAAGATAATTGTAATGGAGACATAGTGTGTTTTCTGTAAGGGAGGAATATGTGGTTCAGATATAGAGAAACAGACACCCAAGACCAAGTCTTTGAGCAAGCTAATTGGAGTAAAGAGAACAAAGTAAAGAATATTAGCCCTTTAAAGGGTGACTTTGCAAGGGCAGAGAGAATGAGAGAAATGATGAAATACTGACGGTGGCAATCACAGTAGGAGGGAGAAATCGTTTGAATTCATTTCATTTATTCACCTTCCATAAATCCTGTCGAGAGTATATTCTCATGCGGATGTGGAGATTGTCCTTGTTACAGTCACAACTAAGGATTACAGTTGTCATCCAATAGCATGCATATTTGTATAAACATGTACAATATTACAAATAAGTTAATTTTAGTAGTAAAAGTAATGGCAAACCTTATACAATTTGTACAGTTTTATGTAAGTCTATTAACTAAAAATTCAATAGTTAAAACATAATGTCATTAATGAGTCTTGTATAACATACATCAATTATGACAGGATGAACAAATGAAAGAGAGAAAGGATAAATTAAACATAAATAGGGTATGGGAGGAAGGAATAGAAAGCAGATTGGAATAAGGGCAGCACACAATCACTGGAAATCCTATGACAACAGCTCCGTACATTCTTCCATAAAGCAGATGAGAGTTTTCCACACCTCATCAATAACCATAATATCTGCTGATGACACTAGTGTCGAAATTCCTGGTAAAAATTTTGATGATTTTTACATACTATCAAAAAAATGTTATCTCTCAAATGAGTAAATGGGCTTCTGCAAACAAGCTGTCCTTGAATCTGGATAAAATAAATGTAATAAAATTTATAATAAAAACTCACCACAGTATCCATTAAATATTGGATATAATGATAAATATATAGAAGAGGCAGTAACCACAAGACTCCTTGGCTTAAAACTGATAATCATTTAAACTGAAAAAACCATTTCGATCAATTGGTTCCAAAGCCATGTGGAGCATGTTATGCAGTTAGATCTATGTTACATATCAGCGGCACTGACACTCTCAAATCAATTTCTTTTGATTACTTTCACTCTTTAATGAACTATGGAATGGTTTTCATCTGACAGCAAAAAGGTACTTACATTTAAAAAGAAAAATGTTAGACTGATGATGGGTGTCAAATCCCATAATCCTTGTAGAGATCTAATTAAGGGACTGGAGATCTTAACACTTCCATGTAAATATAAATATTCGTTAATAAACTTCATTACATAAAACGAAGACATTTTCCGACTAAAGACAGTGTTAACACAAGACTATCTCCAGCAAACACTAATCTCTCACGCTTTCAGAAAAATGCATATAGGAGTAATGCTGGGACCAAAATTTTCAATTAACAGCCATCTGATCTCAAAAGTCTTGTGAATGAAAGAGCATGAGTTAAAATAACACTAAAACAATGCTTAAACACACACTTATTCTACTCTCTTGATGAATATTTATTGTCTAGAAAGTGACTCATCGCTTTAAAGGCTGTATAAATAGCATAAGTTGACAGTTTTGATATATACATGTGGATACATTTTTGAATAACATGTATAACCACTGTGTTTTCTTGTGTGAAAACTTCATTTGTGCTGTACATATGTTTTTGTATTTATATGACATATTCCACATCCTACAGACATTATGGCTAACTCTAGTTCCAGGGAATGCAATTCTGTGTAATGTAATGTAATATGATGTAACATGTGTTGCATAGTCTTAAATTATTTTAGTTGTGATCACAGCTGTTTAGCTCATAAACATACCAATTAGCCAATAAGGAGATTCTGGCACAAAGCAGAGTGCTACTACAGCAGTCACAGGAAACATCACATTAATGGACGCCACAGTTCTCCAGGAGAGCATGGTACCCATCAGGAATTGGATGAAAACTCCAAGAATGACACACATGGATGAGGTAGCAGAGAGCATACCTCTCAGATGGGGCTGTGTGATCTCTGCCACATATGTCAGAACCTGCAATATGACAACCATGCCAACTGCACAAAGTGGGACATCAAAAGGAATATCACAGTTGGAAACATGATTAGTGATGCTGTATAGTGTTGCAGACAGTTTCCTCTGAAACACTGTTATCTACAAACCAGACTATGTGGATCACAACCCAGGAGATTCTAACCTTAACATTCACCACTCTATGAACCTCCATTTCAATTTACTTAATGGTAATAAATGTGCAGAATTTAAACTAACGTAAAAGGGCAAAGCTATTCCTGTAGCAGGGTGTGAAGGCCCATAGAATTGTGACCTGTCAAGGTTCCCATATTTTCTAGACAATTGGCTCACAGATGGCGGTAAGGTTGTCAGCCTTACATGCCAGCTGCCCTTTATCCCCAGGAAGATACTTGGTACTCATTTCTGTTAGAGGCCGAGTCAACCCAAGGGTAATAGCGTGGCCAGAAGGATTAGGTAAATTTAAAAATCTGTGACCTCATCAGGATTCGAACCTGCAGCCTTCTGGCTTGTAGCATAGTGCCTTAACCAAATAAACTACTACACCGAACATCACAACTTACTGGAGCCTCCAGTAAACCGCCTCCAAGTCCTGTGAGTACTAGACTCGCATATAACATCCCAACATTGCTGGCATAGTGAAACATTACCCAAGCCACAATAAACGGCACATTCACCAGAATCATGGCGCGCTTTCGGCCCAATGGCTGGGTAAGGGTACCTGACATGAGGCAGCCCAGTGGAACACAGATCAAGTTGATGCTACCTGCAACAGAATTCAGGGGTATACACCACTACTGCCAGAAATGAGATCTCTATCATTAGAAATGAGTATATGCACAAAGGGAACACAAGTTACAATTACAGAAGCGTTATTTTAGTGTTAATATCTTGTGATGTCTGTGTCAGAACTCAGAGGGTTGTACACTGGGCTCCCAACAGTGACTAACAAACTTCATGGAACAGTCCCCCCCAATAAATATCGAGTTAAATACTGCGAACAAAACAGGCTTATAAAGGAAAATGAGATGATAAAACAGCAATGAGAAAAAAATGAGTTAAACAGGAGAATAAACTAGATTTGTTTGTATTTACAATCTTACTAGTATGCATCCTGTTGTGTGTCATAAACAAGGTACACAAAATGTATACAAAGGTATGCAGTCTACACAACAATATTCTGTATTTAAAACAAAGTAGACACTATCCTATCAACATGTTTCGACCCTTATACTGGGTCATCATCAGGCATACAATGATACCATTGGATTGCATCTAATTCTTCAATAAGGGTCCTTACTGTGCACTTGAGTGTTTTCAAATACATAAATTCAAAAATTTTAACTGAAAGACTCAATTGATGCATTTAAAAACACTCAAGTGCACCAGAGGGAAATACAACGATAAGCGGAAAGGATAAAGCATCAAGTGTCATCCCCACCATGCATGGGACTTCCCTCCATGGCCTCTGTATAGCCATTTACTGAACCGTGAGATCTGCTTCTCTGTGAGACAGTCACTTACTGAACCATGTGAACTGCTACACTGTGAGATAGTCAGTTCAGTTATTCAGTATTGAGGGGGTGGGTTTCTCCATGCACCGTGACTAATAGTCTATTGTACGTCCCCCTTTCAATTTCTACTGTCTCCATACCCTACCAGTACTGGTTCTCACTATCAGCCCCTTTCTGCCAGCGAGGTTTCGACCTTCTACTGGCAGTGGTATCTGATAATTAGTCCTTTCTGTCAGTGATATCGTACCTCCTCTGGCAGTGGTACCTAATGCTTCCCCATCTACCGGATGCATTGGAAACTACGTGGGCGGGAGACTTTTTGCCTAATTTAGCTCAGAGGTCTCCTAGAGACATGAGGTTCTTTTACGTGCTGTAAATCTATGACATGGGACCCACGGCTTAAAGTCCCTCCCGGAGGACTTGTTCCCGGAATTTTTCCGCCCTTAAAAATTCTATGACCTCCACCGGGTTTGAACCCGCATACCTTGAGTCATGAGGTGGGAACGTTACCCCTGAGATAGTCAGTTACTAAATCATGTGATCTGTTCCTCTGTGAGATAGTAATTTACTGAACAATAAGATTTAATCCCCTGGAAGGTAGTCACTTACTGAACCATGAGATTTACTCCTCTGTTAGATAGTCACTTACTGAACCATGAAATCTGCTACTCTGTGAAATAATCATTTATTGAACCTCATGATCAGGTTCTCTGTGAGAAAGTAAATTACTGAACCATAAAACTTCTCCTCTGCAAGACAGTAACTTACTAAACATGAAATCTGCTACTCTGTGAAATAATCATTTATTGAACCTCATGATCAGGTTCTCTGTGAGAAAGTAAATTACTGAACCATAAGAACTTCTCCTCTGCAAGACAGTCACTTACTGAACCATGAGATCTGCTCCTCTGTAAGGCTGAGTGTATCCTTTTCACGCAAATCAGTCACATTGCCATGATGTGGCTGCAGTGATGGGATAACGATGGTAGGGAAGCCCAGTGTCATCCCATACCCCAACAATAGGATGTTCTTTGCTGATGTTGCCAGTATCTGAAACATCATATTGAAAGGCTACTGAGGCCACAAATATACAATGGGTATGACAGAACTTATTTTTCTGTTCTCAGAGTTTCTATGAAGGTACTTCATAATTAGCTGAACATAATCCAGCACATAGGTGTTGTAATAAAAAACTTAGCATGTAAGAAACTCCCTGTTCTGGTAAAATGGGGACTTAATTAAAGGGATCCACTGGAAGAATCCAACCCACTGATTGAGGCCACTCTTTCCAATGGACCCATCAGATTAGTGCAAAACCTAGACAATGGATAATGTCCAAGGCATTGAAACCAGCTATACAGATAGAGTAATACACTTAGCTGACAATCTGTTAGTCATTACACTCAGCCAACTGGAAAGAAAAAGCAATGTATGAAAGAGGTGCCTAGTGGATAATTCTTACCTGTGGCAGTGCACTGCGGAATGTCTTCTTTGGTTCCACATTATTAGGGAGAGAACTCTTCTCATTATTATTACACTGGCCAACTTCTATCCCCTTCTGACTTCAAAAAAATCAAAACATTTGTCATCAGATTATGGATCATATGATATTTTAAAAAAGCCAGTGCCCTACAAGAACTTACTTACTTACTTACTCACTCACTCACTCATGGAGCTGAGCACTTGTGAAGGAGCCGCCAATTCTGCAGTTACTCAAGAATTTCCCAGCATTTTATGGAACCTGAAGGTTCAGTGCCGTGTTCACAAGAGCCCCTCCACTGGTCCCTATCCTGAGCCAGAACAATCCAATCCATACCATCCAATCCAATCTAAGATCCATTTTAATATCGTCCACCCACCTACGCCTCGGTATTCCCAGTGGTCTCTTTCCTTCTGGCTCTCCAACCAATATCCTATATGCATTCCTCGTCTCCTCCATTTGTGCTACATGCCCTGCCCACCTCATCCTACAAGAACACTCTCAATAATTAAGTCAGAAGAACTAAAATCTGAAAGGACAGCCAAGAGATACTGCTTCATTGTTCTCAAGCTTCTTGCAGCTTAAACCAAAAGAAAGCACTGCACAATGTGGAAGGATTACGTGAAGTGGGAACAGGCTTAATTGCCTGTAACGTGAAGTAAAGTTGCATGGGGATGAGGAGGAGGATGGTACAGGGCGATGTTTCAAATGTTAATAGCTAATTAGCTGGTCAGGAAGTTAACAGCATTAAAGCAACCTACAAGTAATCACCATGTCCACAAAGCCTGCCATGAGCCAGTTGAATACAGTACCATTTTCCAACATATCTTCGTCATTTTAAGTTCCTACCACTGATAAAACCAACATTGCTACCATGCGAACTTATGAGGTGGGAGAAACAAAAGCTCCACTTAATGTGCGGTCCTGAAATATAGTATGATAATAAATTCTGAAAAATACCCAGCTCTTGTTAAGAAACAGTGCATGTTGAAATCTAAATTTCAATTTTCAGTTTGATACCGATAATTAATTAAAAAATTGCCTCTAAACGCCTGGAATGTTATTTGGAGATAGACCATAAACATACTTAACTTTCATCCTGCCTTCTTTCATCTTGCTATACAGTCCCCTCTGTGCTTTATTCTCAGAAGAGTTACTCATAAAAATTCTTTATGCATTTCCAAGGTCTGTTCCACTAGGTTATCGACCGTTTTAAAATTACAAAATAATCCCCCACATTTGTAGTAACCAGCAACGGAAAGTCAAGTGAAGCAACATGAACTATCTATAGGTCAGCGGAACACACCACAGATAAGTGCTGTACCGTTAACCCATGCGAGGTCATTATGAGTAAGTGTCGCATTCTTAACCCGGGTATGGCCGATAACAGTAACAGTATCGCATTGGGAACTTGGCCACGGCCGATGGAAATGATAAAAAGTCGCACTGCTCAATCAAATACGGCTGATAAGAGTAATTCAGTGTCGCGCTGTTAGTTCGATTACCGCCAAAACATGATACAGTAGGAAGCCGGAATAGCTCAGTAAGACTCTTTGCATAATATCTTAAAGTAGGTCATGACCGCTATTTCCCGCATCCTTTTCAATTCACAATCCATACTCGTCATGTCATTCAACATTATGTAACCTGTGACGTCAATTTGCATTTGTAGTATACTCAAACAAATTAACGGTCGTGGGGATTCGTTGCGCTGACCACGCGACACCCTCTATCCGCTAAATATGGCACTAACTTCACCGACAAGCGGCGGTCGCTCGGTCGGTATAGTTCGCTTGCAGATTAAAGTCACAGAGTTTTTTTTAGTATACTTAAAGACGCTGTCAGTAACCCAGACTACATACCGACGAATGAGAGGGCGAATAATGAATTGCAAATGATGCGAAACGATTCGGTCGTGGCCTATTTTGAGGTAGTTTCCCGGAATTTGACTGGAGGGACTGAGCAAAACCAAGAGAAACTCCAGCCATGATGGTCGGCGTCCCGGCGAGAGTCAGATGCGGTTTCTCCAGGATAACATTCAGAAGAACCCATGCATTGAATTAAGCGTCGTTACGTAACGGTAGGCTCAATCAATCATCAAAATCTCATCGCCCAGAACGAAGTTATTTCATGTGGGACGAAGAGGCAGACATTCTGATGATAACTGTGTTCACGTTTATTGTGCAAATGCAACGGTCTTCCTGGTATGCTGCTCACATTCAAGTGACCGGACGGCAGAGACAGCTGCCGAATGCAAATGCATAATGAATACAAGTGCCAACATTCACGTCAATTGGACTTGAATAGAATGGTGTTATTTAATTAATTATCTCTCCAACTGCCGACTAACGCCTCAACAATTTTCTCACGATTAATTTATAATAGTATCCTCCAATCTCCGACTCAGTCCTTCAAGTGACTATATTCTCTGATGTTTCTGAAAAGAAATATGCATATATCTTGTCTCTGACTTGTGGTCTTCATTATGTGACCCTTAAAAACCGGAACACCACCTGAGAAATATGTAATAATATAATTCCTGCCTCATGGAATAGCGCAGTCGGTATAGCGACGGGCTACCGGCTGGATGATCAAGTTCAATTCACCCGATGGAGAAGAAAATTTTCTTTTCTTCAGTTGTCGAGACCGGTTGTGGGGCCCATCCAGCCTCCTTTCCAATAGGCACCAGAAGCTGTTTTGAGGATCTATACATCCACTCCCCCACAGGCCTTCATGGCGTAGTGCTTAATTAGTTAAGAGCAGGGAGAACCTTTTATCAGAAGCTGTTTACCCTGAGGTAAATCTATCAGAGCGTGAAGCGGACTACTGCCCCCCATCTAGTGCCGAGGTAAAAAATGTTGGAACTATACATCCGTTCCCCCATACAGCTTTATGGTGTGATGCTTAATTAATTAAGCACAAGTATAGCTTTATTGTTTTACGCAGAAACTGCCTTCTAAAAGAAGTTATCGAAGGAAAGATAGAGGGGCGGATAGAAGTGACAAGAAGACGAGGAAGAAGACGTAAGAAGATGCTGGATGACCTTGGGGACAGAAGAGGATAGTGTCATTTGAAGGAGAAAGCTCTAGATCGCATTAAATGGAGGAATTGTTCTGGAAACGACTGTAGACCTGTCGTCTTGATAGATTACTGATGATGATGATAGCTTTATTATTTTATCTCACAGAAAATTCGCTGTCTTTAGTTCAAAGACCAGTTGGTTAAAGCGTTTTACATAATTAATCGTTGTTTTTTTCTGTGTATCATATGAAACACGTAATTACTCTGTGTGGGCAAAGTGGAGATTTCTTGTAATGTTAAAGCAGGTGGTACCTATACTAACCAGCGTGATTCAGATGATTAATCAAACAGTACGAAAAATAACGGAGGTTTTAGCTGTGTTACTTGCTTCATTATCCTTGTGGTTCACTTCCTTGTGTCACATAATCATAAAAAAAAACATTTATTCCACACAGTTTAACCCTTTCCATGCTTATTTCTATTTATCATACTTAAGTTTCTTGTCCGTATATGTCTATAGCGGCATGTACTGTCTTCGCTCGCTTGGAAACCGGGATCGTGGGTTCGAATCCCACTCAGGGCATGGATGTTTAGTTTGTGTGTGTGCGTTTTTCTGTGTTTGTGTACAGGTAGAGGCCTTGCGAAGAGCTGATCACCCGCCCAAGGAGCCCTACCCAATGTGTAAGATCTAGAAAAACCGAAGTGAACGGAGAAGTTCATGGAGGTAGGCCTAGGCCCACTGGGGCTGTAGTGCCAAGGAGAACAAAAAAAATATGTCTATAGCACCTTATAATAATATAATTAGAAATTAACGGCCGTGGGGATTCGTTGCGCTGACCACGCGACACCCTCTATCCGCAAAAGTTGGCACTAACTTCGCCGAAAAGCGGCGGTCGCTCAGTCGGTATAGTTCGCATGCGGACTAAAACCATGGAGTTCATTTTGTAATTATAAATGGTGAAATGGCTAAAATAGGTATGTAATAATAGACGGCCGGAAAATTATACGTTTATCAATGTTACTGAACATCACAACCTCTGAGAGCAAGTGATCCACATTTCTACAACGCATCTACAACGCATGTAGCATATATACATTTCGTACAGAACTACACGCAATTTACAGATATTTACTGGCAGTAGAATCCAAAGCTTCGACACCGGCAACGAGAAAACCAACATTAGACACAATCCTGAATCAGTTTTATGCCACAGAAAAGAACCTATAGTATTCATTAGGTGAGCTACAGAGTGGGTTTGGAAGTGACAGCAAAGAGAGAGATAAATATCTGCTTCTGTCGGGGGAAAGAACCCCGAACGTTCAGCACATAGCCAGTCAAAAGAGCATATGAGACTGATTCGTTGATATGTGGACTATAGGGTTCTCATTTACTCAGTAGATATGGATATCAAATCATCGGCTGATTCAAGAGCCTATTACATTACGTCACAAAGTCATTGAAAACGGTAAGTGGAAGATGTCGGAATCCTCTGAAAGGAATTCGTGTGGAGGAACGTTATGGAGAGAGTCAGTCAGAATAGCCAATTCCACGTCTGAGATTCCGTCCAGGTGTTCCCTGATACTGCTGACGTAGCCGCATTGTTTCGGAACAAGTTATGAGTCATTCAAAGATCCACCTGATTCGCCTTAAGCAATCGAGTAACTGTACGGCGTCACGGAGCTGGAAAGTTGAAACCAGATCTGACGCCAAGAAAATTCCCAGCTCTGCGGCCGCCGAAGATCTCTCACATCTCGAGTATTTCAAGGTCATTGCTCTCTTCGATTTTACGAGAAAACAGGTTTATGTAATCGACAAGTCATTTCGCTCCATTTCCTTATTTATTTAGTAACCGGCTGGCTATTCTTCCGCGTATTCTACTATTATTATTTTAAAAGGAGCATCATCACTACTACTACTACTACTACTACTACTGCTGCTGCTGCTACTACTACCACAATTGCTATTACTACCACCATTACAACTACTATTACCACAACCATCACCACCACTATTACTACTACTACAATACTACAACTGCTGCTGCTGCTGCTACTACTACT